CTCTTTCTATTTCATCTTGTATATTTAATAGATTGCAGATTTAGTTCCCATTTCTATGAAACACTTATTTAAAAAAAAATTAACTAACTAACTTCAAGGGAGTATCAACTTGGAAATAGAGTTAATTTCACATTGCAGTCCTAATTCTAGGATGAATAAAAGCATTTTACAATAAAAATGGACCTTTTGGAAATAATGGATAGTTATAAAAGCCATTTGATGTAATTTTAAAAAATGAACGTTGATTGTGCCAAGAGAAAAGTGGAAGGCGTTGCTGAGCACTCGAAGCTCAAGTGCCTAAACTAAGGTGGAATATGTTCCTTGTGCTGATTCCTGTAGTCTTAGTTATATAATGCTCTCTCAGAATGGCAATGTAAAGGAAAAACTGCTTACCTTAAACAGAGCATCCTGTAGAACCCGGTACTATGTTTCCTGGTTTCAAAGTATTTATGCAACTTTTCCTTTCTGTGAAAGCAATATTTAATAAAAACAAGTACACCCCCCTTAGAGCAGAGGTACCCAACCTGTGGCACATGTTCCCACTTCTTCCCATTTTCTGTATGCAGTTTCTGTACAGTTTCTCAAACTTTACTGCTCAGTGGGTATGTCTGCACTTGCAATTATTGCACCCCCCCGCAGCAGCCTGGGCTACCCACTTCTTTTTTTCCCCACCCCAGTCCCAGTGCTGCTCAGCTCCCACCTCCCCTTAGCACTGAACAGGAGCTAGAGTGTGGGCTAGGAGATCCCAGCTCATCACTGCCCTCCCTCCAGTTAAGTGCAGAGCAGCCCCATGATGCAGAGTACTGCGCTTGCCAAAAGCTGGCCCTGGAGACTAGAGCAGGATCCAAGGCCACCAGGTAGGTGGATGCCTCCATACCTTTTTTTGATGACTAATTGATCCAGCAAGTTCATCCTGGACTCCTCTGCTGCCTGCAAGCAAAGCAAGGGGAGAGATCAGGGTGTTGTTGTTGCTCAAGCATGAGGCATTGCTCCAAGCCAGCTGTTCTGCTCCCACCTCCCCCTGAAACTAGGCAGGAACCAAGCAGCATTGGGACTGGAGAGAGGCATGGGTCCATTGTGGTCCCCTGCTGCCTGGGCTGACCAGGACCAATTTGGTCCTGGTTGGCATCTACACATGTGCTTCTTAAACCATAGTTTAAAGTACCATTTTCTAGTACCTTTATCTGTGAGTAGTAGCAAATGGGACTTTAAATTTAATTTGCTGCACACATGTAGATGGTGACACTTTACTGCGCATTAGATTAGTCTAATGCACAGTAAAGCGTCTTGTGTAGATGCACCCAGCTGGGATAAAAGGCCTGCTCCAATGTAGATTTATGTAGTAGTATAAGGGTGACTTCTACTGCTATAGCTAGATAGGACACCTTTACAACAGTGAAAATTCATCACCCTAGGGGATCCTAGGCTGTAATATAACTGTTGTATAGACACAACAGCCAATGCTTCTAAAAAACATTTAGTTAGTACATGGTATAGAAATGGTTTAATCCCACAAACTCCTCATCAGTACTTGGTAAGTGATACTGCCTAACCTAAAAACAAAAAGCACAGTGTAGATAAGGCCTGCAGTGCTGAAATGGAGGACATCTGTGAAGGTTACATTGCAAGGAAGATGAGAAAACAATTTGCATCCAACAATTCGCATCATCTCAGGTTAATGTTTTGCACACTGCCTTACCTCAAAGTGAAGAAAGCAGCAGCGAATTTGGGGTTATCCAGCACACTGGGGCCAACCTTTTTGGTAGGCATGCCACAAATTAGCCCTGCACCCATGTGCTTGATCTGCTCTGCTTCCTAACCTGTGCTCCTTACCTGATCTCCCTGTTCAGTCGTCTGCTTCCTGCCCTATCTGCAACTGTGCTGCCTGTCCCCTCCTTGGTCACTTGTCTGAGCCACACATTGCCCAACCTTTCAGGAAATTGTTGCAGCCAGTCTGAAGCCCCTGGGGTAAATGGTCAGTTGACTGAACAGATAAGGTAGGTCTCTCCCAACTGTACAGTTGATCCAACAAAAGATCATGCCAAAAAACTGGCTTCTCTCATTTGTTTGGACCATCGCTGTAACAACAGCACTCCAGCCCTACTAAGTGCCCAGTTAGTAATTTTTAGACAGTTAAAACTAGTTTCCTTTGGGCCAAGGCAGTAAACACTTCTGAGGACTCTTCAAGCAAATGACAACTTCCAGTCCTCAACTATTTTGGCTACTAGGTAGTTTAAACAATATTACAAAAGTTTCTACTGGAAAAGGTGTTGTTTTAATCTTTCCACATATTAATCTTTCTTTCTCTTTCTTTTTTCACCCTCAAACTGAAATCCCTCTTGGATAGATTAAGACTGGAAAATCTCAGCCTGGAAGGATTTTATTTTTTTGAGGGGTAGGGGGAGGTTACTTTTTAACTGTCTAAATAATGCATCTAAAGTTACTGATTCTTATTTTAAAGCAACAATTGCTGCTGATGATCTTTTTTAGGGGCCCTGTCCTTTATCCACATATTCATACCAAAATCCCATTGCCATCTGGCTGCAGCTCTATTTCGGTGCTGCTAATTTTGCTGCTACTATACAATACTGTAGTCTCATTTTATTTTGGAAATGAGTTGGTCAGAAAGTTATATGCATCCAAACAACTCAATATCTTGATAGCTATAATCCTACAGGCTTTGATGTACAAATTATGCTGTTGATGCACACATGCATTTGGTTTCCTGTGCAAGTAATAGCCAAATGAGTCATAATCTAAAAAAGGTTGTTTTTCACTCTATCCAAGCAGTTTTGACAAAGACATTCTTACAAAGATCCAAGGAGAAAGAAATACTAAATGCAAGGTGTAGACAGCTTTTACTGACACCAAAGTCAGTCAGATTGTGAGACATAAAGATTATTTTCAGTATTCAGCATTTATATTAGTTTTGTGATTTTTTTTTTTAAGATGATAAATCATTTTTGTGACATGATCACTACAGCCACTTTTAAAAATACTGTATGTTGGCCTTTCTAAGAGAACTCTAACAAATTTTTATGGAGTCAAGCTTGGGAAAACACCACTGTCAGTGCTGTCATCCCAAAAGTAGGCTGCATTAGTACCATATTGCCTTGACCTATAGACCTGAAAAGATTCATATATTTAATATGTTAGAGGAAAAGTGGATTTAGGACCTTTTTAGCATTTATGTAGTGGTAACACCATAGGGAAGGTATTGATGTTTGGTAAAAGAAAGGCTCTTTTTAAGCATTAATTTTATACAGGAATTAAATGGAACCCAAGTCAATGGCCACAAACGTCCATGCTGAAAAATAAACAAACACATACTTTACCTGCAAGTTCTGCACTTAAATTTCAGGTATACTTCTCCCTGGTGTTAGCCTGAATGAGAATGTGAACAGATTTAAATGAATATTCTAACTATATTACCATTGGCTCCTTAGTTGTTTGCTTCACAGGTGTTTGTTTCTGAATCTCTAGTGCTAAAGTGAAGTGGGATAATAAGAATCTAAAATTAGAGCAGCTCTGTATTAGCAGGCCACTAATTTAATCATGTTTCTTTGTGTAAAACCTATTAACACACGGAGTCATTGCACACAACTACCACCTGCAAGTGCAATGATGAAATCCTTCTATCTGCCTATGCATGAGTAGAGGTGCTTAGAGAATGCATGTCCAAGTAATGGTGTATAAAGATTATGCTTACCTGACAGACAGCTTCTCTAAGACAGTAGAACAGACAGGATTTGTCCATAAGAACAGGCCACTAGCAGAAACTCTGCAAGTTGCCTGCACGCTGGTTAAGTTATCAGTATGTAGTTTGCAGACTTTTGGGGGAGAAAAGTTGCACACTTCAGTACATTCCAGGATGAGACTCTACTCCATTAATCTTCTTTAATGGGTTTGACAAATGGCTATCCATGGATATCCCGTTTAGAACACCATAAGCTTCTGACAACCTCTCCGAATATAAGCCTTCAGTGAAGTGTCTGCCATAGTACTATGTGACCATTTTAATTGCTCCAGGGATTGTACGTCAAAGTACAAGTACTGAGAACTGTAGGAGGAGGGCAGAGTCCCATCTGCATGTGTGTGGGTGGATTAAAAGACTCTTTTGGACAGGATTTTCTAAAGATGTGATGCTTTTGTCAATAGAGCTTCAGGCAAAGATATCCAGACCCCAAATAATATTTCTGAAGGTCTCTCAAAACTGCTCTTCTCTTCCCCTTCTCCCCGCCCCTGCTTCTTTAAAATTATTTCCCAAACACCTTCATGGATTCATACATTCCTGGGTTAAGAGGCATTCTCATTCACCTCCGCAAAGCCTGAAATTTATTGTTCTATCCTCTCTTGTTGCATTTCAAGCATAAATATGAATACCCTCATTCCTATGGAACAGGCACTTAAAAACCCTCTTCAACACTGTTCTGACATTCTGATGTTTCAGTTTGAAGGCTGGCTTTTAATACCAAACACATTTTTGCAATGCAGATTGTTCTGGATACAGCTTCCTGGCCTAGCAGTGTGCTCTTTCCTCGTTATGCAACTTTGCTTATGAGAAAAATAGCTTAAAGTATTTTCAGGGACAAGTGAAGCTATGATAGGTAGATGAGTATTACGTAGCATCATGCATTTGTGGACCCGTGTTTCTTATTTTGGTAAAAGCTGATTTATGAGTTAAATTCATAGTGTGCTGTTCATAAATTGCTAAAATACATGACTCATAGTTCTATAGTAAGATCAGCTTCTGCAGTGAATTCAGGAATTTGGCTCCCAAGGGCTGACTGGAAAGGCTCAATCTATGAACAGGCACCCTCCTGTAGAGGGAAGGCTCACTGCACCTGTTCGTTCAGTATCTGTGTTGAGGTTTTTTGTTTTGTTTTTTTTTTAATTGAGTAAAAGCAGTAGTAGTTCTTTAGGAAGGATGTAGTTTTGAACATCAGTGCCTCTGTCCTTTTACTTTGGGAATTGTTGTTACAAATCTAAATAATAATATCCTACTCTGTCCAGAAAAGCTGAACCATAGGTCACAAATCTAGATCTGCTTGAGCTGGTTCTAGGCCCTACAGAGTGGTTGTCCCTATCAAAGAATTCAGGTTTCTTACTGTTTCTGATCAAGGGTACCACTAGGTGAGACTAGTTAACTAGTTTTGGTGTTGCAGTGGAAAAAAGGCAAATGCACTGTTCATCAGTACCCTTCAGTTTTTTCATTTAACAGTGTTTTCCCCATTTCTCCCCTCAGATTAATATTTCAAAGTATGGAATAAATGCAAATAGTATAGAATCTAACACCTGCTGTTGTCTTACTAAAAAGGGTATCTTGGGTTTAAAACTCTTTGATTGAATGACTAAACTAGTTCAGAAAACTTCCAGCAAACTTAATTTGCTTCACTAGTAAATCTAGTGAAACTTAGGCTGACACACACCTGGCTACGCTCAGTTAATAATATTATATTTCATTGTCTTGTTCTAGTGGAGGCGAGAATGATGAAGATTTTGACCAGGACTGGAAGCCTCCAGAAAATGACCTCATCCAGAAGTTAATAGAACAAATTGAATATTACTTTTCAGATGAGAACCTTGAGAAAGATGCCTTCCTCTTAAAACACGTGAGAAGAAATAAGATGGGCTATGTCAGTGTTAAGCTACTTACTTCTTTCAAAAAGGTAGGTTGGGTTTTGTTGTTTGTTTGTTTTTTAATACCTCTTTCTATTCAGTTCAGAGAAGGGTTGGAAAAACTTTCTAGTTAATTAGCTTAATGAAAAAGACAAGTATTTTTCTGGGTGATCTCTCTTATTGGATCAGCTGCATGATGGGGATAGACAAGCTCTAGAAAGCAATACATTTTTGAGCTATAGAAGTTTTGACACTCTGCTTATGCCTGTGTTAAGGGTTGATGCTGTTTAATAGTCAGCCTTCAGTTAAAGCTTTCCTTGCATATAGTCTCTTCATGACTCATCTAAAAAAAATCATGTGGGTTCATGTAGGTCTAGGGCAGGGGTGGGCAATAATTTGGGCCTGCAGGTCACATAGTGGGTTTTGGTGAGCTGTCACAGGCCAGGTCAGCACATCCCTCCCTTTCCTTCCACACACAACAGCTCAGCAAAACTCCTTGAGCAGCCCCATCCCATCCGCTTGCCCACACAGATCCCGGCTGGTCTCCATGGAGGCCCTGGGATTGTGAGGTGGTGAGAGCGTGAGGCTGGAACCCGATGCAGAGCCACAATCTGCTCCCCACACATCCCTGCCCACAGAACCAGCACCTGTTGCAGGAGCGTGTGGGCAGCAGATCATGGCTCTGCTCTATGCTTAGTGTCACAGCGCGGGGTCCTACAGGATGGCCGTGATCTTCCTAAGGCCCCCTTACTGTGCCAAGTTGGCCCTATAGGCACCCTCATTCTGGCCCGCCACGTCTTTGATGGAATTATATGGGAGGCTGCCTTTACACCCTCTTGGACACTGTTTGCTGTACACTCTGACTCCATGGGCTCCCGGACCCCTGGTGGGTCCCGTTCTGCAATGGGTGCTTCAGGACACCCTAAGTTATGGGCTATGTGCGTCTCCAACCACCCCTTTACTACGCCCCAAGCCTCTCAGATGGAACGGACGTTGTTCAGTCTGGGCCTTGTTCTACTTTGACCCCCTTGTCCTCTCTGGCGCTCTGCGGCCCTTGTCTCGCTCCGCGCCCTCTCTGGCGCTCGGGGTCGGTGCACCCCCAATGGTGTACCCTCTCTGGGCCTTCTCGCTGCCCCCTCTCTGGGGCTGGGGTCTCCACGCCGCCGTGGGTCCCCTATGAGGCCTCCTCCAACCCCTAATAGCCTCACCCAAGCCACCGGTCTTACACAGTAAACAAAACACAAGCTCCTCGGCTATAACATAAACTCAAGCTGCCCAGCTATAACAACATCATTCAAGCCACCCCAGGGGTGCTCTATCCCTCACCAGTATCAAGAGCTGCTCGTGCAGTCAGGCCTCTCCCCTTTGTTTGCTCAGGCAGAGCTCCTTCCCCCTTGGCTGCCAGCAGGGAACTGCCATCCTGGCCTCAGCCCTGAGCCCTCAGTTTATATGTGAGCCAGGCCCTGCCCCATCCGGTCAGCTGACCTCTGGCAGGTGTGGGCCACTAGCTCCCTCTGGCTGCCCTGGCAACCAGCAGCTGGGGCTCCCCACTCGCTGCTAGGGCTCTTCCCCAGCAGTTCCACTCTAAGGAGCAAGGCATCTAAGTGCTCTGTGATACTTAGCCAGGATGGAGCTGTGGGTGGGTGGGGAGCAGCATCCGAGAGCAAGGCAGGCAAGCAGGACGGTGACAGCACGTGGCCTGGGGCAGAGTCGTCATCTGCTCCCCGCATGCCTCTGCAACAGGCGCCAGTTCTGTGGGCAGGGGTGTGTGGGGCACAGATTGGAGTTCTGCCCCAGGCACCAGCCCCACACTGTCATCACCCCATAATTCCAGGGTCTCTGTGGAGACCAGTTGAGACCCGCAGGCAGGGCATCTGACTGGATGGACAGGATGGGGCCATGGGGGGGCAGGGAGCTGCGTTGGGGCCAAGTCTGGGATCTTGGGGCAGTGGCAGGGCCAGGCCTGGGGAAGAGCCAGGATCTACTCCCCACACGCCCCTGCCTGCAGAATCCGCACCTGTTTCAGGACTGTGCAGCAGGGTGGGTTTGATTTAAATGGAATCAATTTTAAATCACTAGTCAGGAAGCCTTGATTTAATCATTGTTTTCTACTAAAAGTGCATTCTTTGATATCTTTTATTCATTTAACTTCTTGAAACTTTGCACTTTTAGAGAAAGGTAAGGGCTTGACTCTGTACACAAACTTACAGAGACAAGAGGGCTGATGGGTGGGTAATCCGGTCTGTTATCTCTCATCTCCTATACTGCTGCTTACAAGGATGTTATCTCTGGAGACTACAAACTCTCCTTATGCCTGAAGAAGGGTGTTTGTGCCCAAAAACTTACAGTGAACAATTTTTCCAAATATTTAGTTGGTCTAATACAGGGGTAGGCAACGTTTTTTGGCCGGAGTGCCGAAAAACACCGCAATGCCTACCTCGGAAGGTGCCGGAGTGCCAGCATGGCAGAAAAACAAAACGAGACAAAGGGGTACATGGCAGGATGCCCTGCTTGTGCCCCGTGCCCCCCACCCAAAGCCCCTGCCCCACAGCCCAGGCTCTGTGGCTGCCAGCAGCTACCCCAGCTCTGGGTAGCTACTGGAGCCTGGGCAGCTCCCAGCAGGGCTTGCAGCATCCCAGCTGCCTGCTGCGAACAAGCTGGGACCAGCTTGGGATCCTGGCTGGCAGCAGCTCCCCAGATCCAGGGTGAGCTGCAGCTGGGAGGCTCCAAACAGCTGTTCCGGGCTCCGGCATCAGCTCTGCACTGGCACGTGCAGGCGCACCTCGGAGCAGGCGGTGGGGGAGGGGCCTGAGGCAATGCAGCTCTGGGCAGCTGCAGCAAGCAGTGGGCAGAGTGCAAACAGCTGTGCTGGGCTGCACAGCTCTGGCATTAGCTCCATGCTGGTGGCGACTGCACGGGCACCTCAGGGTGGGCTGTGCTGCCCCACCGTCCACCCTGAGGTGCACATGCAGTTGCCGCCAGCACAGAGCTGATGCCGGAGCTATGCAGCCTGGCGCAGCTGTTTGCACCCTGCCCACAGCTTGCTGCAGCTGCCCAGAGCCTGGGCTGGCCACAAACAGCTGCACCGGGCTCATCACCTCTCTCCTGGGAGCGGGGGAGAGACCAGGGCTGCACTGCCTCAGGCCCCTCCCCCACCGCCCGCTCTAAGGCATGGGTACACGTGCCGGTGTGGAGCTGATGCTGGAGCCCGGCACAGTTGTTTGGAGCCTCCTGGCTGCAGCTGGTCCCGGCTCTGGGGAGTGGCTGCCAGCCGGGATCCCAGGCTGCTCCCAGCAGGCAGCTGGGATGCTGCAAGCCCTGCTGGGATCATCCCAGGCTCCGTCATGGTCAGCAGCTACCCAGAGCCAGGGCTGGCCACGGCATGCCAAGCAAAATGACCTCGCGTGCCACGCTCGGCACGCATGCCAGGGGCTGCCGACCCCTGGTCTAATAAAAGATATCACATCTACCCAAAGAACCTTGTCTGCCTATGATCTCTGGAGACTCAAATCTATAGTTTGCGAACTGAAACTAAGCATCACAGAGATGTTTAATGGGATCTTGTAGGCTGAGCACCGAGGCCCATTGGGTAGAGTGGCTTTCTTTAATCTTTACTAATCTATAAAGGAACCTTCGGGAGCCCCATATGATTGGGCCTCTAATATAGTTCGTGGCCTGTTGTGACTTATTTATAAAACTTCTGAAAAGGTTACATGAATATATTGCCTCAAATAGTATACAATTGGAAGTTATCATCTCTATTCCATGATGAGATCTTTGAGCTTTAATGTATCTTTGTTGTTGTTTTTTTAATCTTATATAATCTTGACAAAAAAAATACAATTAAATAAAAAAAAATCTGATTTGAATAAAAACAATTTGTTTTTAATCATTGATTTTTTTTTTTTTTTTTTAATCCACCCTGCTGTGCAGGCAGCAAATCACAGCTCTGCCTGGGCCCACACTGTCACCCAAATCCCCATCCCATCCACTCAGCCATGCACCCTGCCTGCACAGGTCCCACCCATGGCAGTGGGTGTGGAGCGGATGGGCCAGGGTGCCTGGGTAGCAGGGCTGGGTCCCATGGAGGTGGCAGCCAAAAGGAGCTACCACTGCTAGGAAGCGAGTCCAGCTGCCATGCCAGCCCAGCTCTGTTGTACGCCCAGGGGCAGCAGGACTGGCTGCACACGCCATGGCCCGGGCTACTCCCTGCACCTGGGCTGAGCTGGGAGAGACCGAAGGACCCTTGTGGTGGTGTACAAATTCATATGGGGAGACCAACATGAAGTAGGCGATGATCTGTTCACCAGGGCACCCCCTGGAACGACAAGGAACAATGGCCATAAGCTACTAGAGACGAGGTTTAGGCTGGACATTAGGAAAAAGTTCTTCATGGTCAGGGTTGCCAGGATCTGGAATGGGCTCCCAAGGGAGGTGGTGCTCGCCCCATCCTTGGGGGTCTTCAAGAAGAGACTGGACAGGCACCTGGCTGGGATCACTTGACCCCAGGGTTGGTGATCTCTTCTTGCCTGCCAGGGGGTCAGACTAGATGGCCCACTGAGGTCCCTTCCAACTCTATGAATCTATGACCCACCACAAACTGGACAAAATCCCTCGGCAGACTGAATCCGGCCCACAAGCCATATTTTGCCCATTCCTGGTCTAGGAAATCAACATCTAGAAAAAACATTTTGAAATGCAGAAGAGTGAACTGGGTATGGCAGGAGCAGGTATGTGAAGCCTGGATGCAGCCTCTGGCTCTGTCACAGTCCTGAGTGATTCTGGGCAAGTCATTTCCCTCCTTTGTGCCTTAAAGTCCATGCATGAAATGGACTTGACCTCCTTTGCAAAAGTATTTTCAGATTTAAAGAGTGAAGCAAGGGCAATATATTCATGAGATCCTATCAGAATTTGAAATGGGCCTTTTTCAGTAGGAACTCCTAGTTGTTTGAAGAATGTGATTTATAAAGGACGTGAGCTATTCTGACCCCTGATTAGGAACTGCTCACCTGTTCCAGAATGATCTAAGAACTTGCCTAGTCTGGGAGTTAGTGCCCTCAGAGTCCAGAGCCAGAGGGAAAAGACTGTCCGCGCACGCCGTGAGCAGGATGCTCAGCCCCAGAAATGGAACACAAGCCTCCAGGGCTGCTGGCTTCCTCATTGCTCCGGCCCCAGCGGTCTCGGCTGCCCCAAAATTGAAAAGGCGGGGGGAAAAAAAGGCATTTTGGCTGTACCAAGTTCCACTTCCTCAGAGATGTTCGGTGTACACTGATTCAAGCACAGGCCTAAAATCTGGGGCTCGTTGTGGTAGAATCATGACAAATTTAGTCAGGAGCATATCTGCAGCGGGTGGGATGTTGACACATCTAGAGAGGAGAATTTAACGAGGTTTATAGCTGCTTATTGATGCTCATTATTACATAGGACATTTCCACTAACCAGGAAGGATACTACAGGAAATGATTGTAAATCTGAGTCAGGTTGTCCTGTAACTGTAGAACTAGAATTCTGGTGACTTATCAGCTGCATTCAGCTTGCCTTTACCTTTTTTTAAAGGTAAAACACCTTACCCGTGACTGGAGAACCACAGCTCATGCCTTGAAGTATTCCAGTATACTGGAGCTGAATGAAGACAATAAAAAAGTGAGAAGAAATACCCCAGTTCCAGTGTTTCCCAGTGAGAACCTTCCTACCAGGATGCTGCTTGTGTATGATATGCACTTGATTTCTGAGCTACCAGCTCTGAACAAAGAGCAAGAAAATGGCTGCATGCAAGAAAAGATCATGGAGCATCTTCTCAAGGCCTTTGTAATATTTGGTGTCATCTCATCTGTTCGTATTCTCAAGCCTGGGAGGGATCTGCCACCTGACATTAAACGATTCAGCAGTCGATACACCCAAGTTGGAACACAGGAATGTGCAATAGTAGAATTTGAAGAAGTTGATGCTGCAATAAAAGCTCATGAGTCCATGTCCATTGAAAAGAATGAAGAAGCTGGCATGAAGGTTGTCTTGATAGGAATGAAGCCACCAAAGAAAAAAGTTTTAAAAGATAAAAACCGTGATGATGATCCCAGCAAGGGTCTTAATAAAATTAAATCCCTGAATAAGAGAGTTGAGGAACTTCAGTATGTTGGTGATGAATCTTCAGCAAACAGTTCTTCAGATCCAGAGAGTAACCCTGCATCTCCATTGTCTGGACGCAAGAGTGATGCTATGAGCAAGTTGAGCCCCCCCATGTATCAAAACAACCATCTCAGCCCTAATGTGTCACCTCGGTCAAGCCCCTGGAACAGCCCATCCTTACTGCGCAAAGTGTCCAGGAAGTCTCCACTGGCTGAAGAGGGCAAACTCAACCCTACCACTAGTCCTGAAATCCCAAGGAAGTGTGCAGATTATTCTTCAGATAGCAGTATCACCCCTTCTAGTAGCCCCTGGGTACAAAGGAGAAGACTAGCTCAAACTGCAACACAGGAAAAAAGTCCAGTAGGTAGCCCTATGCTAGCCCGGAAAATACAAAATGCAGGTGGGCTACCTGTGGGAGTGCTGAGGTTACCCAAAGGTCCTGATGGTACCAAGGGATTCCATAATGGATGTGAAAGGAATAAACCTAAGAAGAATGAGTAAACTTAGAGTGTATATACATTTATTTTATTTTTTTTAAACCAGTTTCCCAAATCCATTTTTGTTCAAGTCTGGTGAAGACTGTCACTTGAATGACTGAATTAAGTCAGTATTTAATTTTTAAAGGGTTTGTATTCATGTATAGACTTATCATTTGTATTTTTGTATTTGCACTTAATCTGCATTATTTTTATACTTTTGTTTTTTAGTTTCAAATGCCTGAACATTGGAACATATTACTTTTTTATGCCAGGTACTTAAAATGATTAATGTAACTGCATTAATTGATAAAGATATGCTTCTGCACACACAGCAATGTGTAAATATGATATAGAGTATTTAGCCATTGTATTTTCCTAAGATATGGTACTTTATCATTCTGTTCATTTAAGACCTGTTGGAGGATTGAAGACTTCCTGTTTTTCTATATTGAAGGGAACTCTAAAAGTATGTTTTGTTATGTCAGACATTTTGCTACTTGCCAAACCTTCCAAGACCTGGTTATACGTTTTGGTTCCAATATATAATATTTTCTGTGATGTGAATAAAATGCTAAGCATTAAAATGTTTTCATGGGTTTAACTCCAATGTCAAGTAATCAAATGGGAAGGTTCTAAACAGTTTTTGCATAGTCTTTTCTTTTAGTATGAAATAGTCCTCTTTCTGGAACTTATCAGTATCTGTCTAACCCTGAAGGCTTAGGTCATGCATTACTTGTTCTCCCTGTCTTTTGGAATCGGTTGTGGTTTATTTTAAATGGCAAAACTGATTCTGCATTTCAAAAACTGTCAGGCAGCTTTTTGTTGAAAAATATGTATGGCAGTAAATGTGATTTTTTTTTTTTTTTTTGAGGGTGGGGGAGAGGGGGAAGCTAAGGAGAGGGATCAGACCGCAATCATGTCTGACTTGACAGTAGTGCAGGAGGAGCCCAGGATTAGTTGATTGTTGGCTGGCTCCCAGAACCCACTAGGGCCAATTCAGGCTCCACTGCAGTTCCTGGAACCAGCCAACAACCTGGTGGTTGGTTGGACCGTGATACAGTTCCTGCCAGCTGACAGTCAGCTGACTGTTGGTTGGCAGGGACCACGCTGAGGCCAACTGGAGACCTCAATGCAGTCCATCCTGTCTCATCTTCATTTTAAGGCACAGCAGAAATCAGCCACTCAACTATTACACTTTGTGTGCATGTCTGTAATTTTTGTGGCTGGCTTTGTGTTTTGTTGCACCATTTAACACCCTGAATGTGTGGCCAGGTTGTGCTTTGATTCAGTTAACTGGTTAATTGCATCTTATGTGTAATGTCTGCCAGAGGCCTAACACCAGTAGAATAAAGTAACATTTCTTGAGTTGCACTTGTTTTAGAGCAACTCAACAAGAGGAAAATCACTCCAGCTGTCCTTGTGATGTTTTGTACTTAAGTGGTGTTTTGGGGTTTTTTGGTAACTCAATTTGTATGGTACAATAAGAGATGCTTTGATTTTTTTTTTTGGATTTTTTTTTTTAAGAAAAAGCCTGTCAAATGCTTCACTAATCTAGACAAAAAAAGCCAAGCTGCATCTTATGCACCTAGGTACCTGTGCTGCATGATTCTCTCAAATTTGAGTAACATCTTTTAAAATGTGACATTACTCACCCCCCCACTTCTTTCCTCCTCTTCCCCCCTCCTCTTTCCTTGACAGGAGTAGCAAATCGGACAGGAAATAGAAAATCTTTTCTGAACACTGTTGCTATGACTTCTAGGCTCCACAGGGCATTATAATCATAGTGGAGCTCAGCACATGCATTAATTACACAGGGAGGGTACCAAGCTCTCTCTTGCTTGAATGATGGGTTGGAAAGTAACAGTATTTAAATACATAATCTGTCACTGTCAGAGGACAGATAGCTATGCTACAATGGAGGAAGCCTAGTGTAGGCTTCCTCCATTGGCACCAATTGGCACCAATAATCTTCTAAAGAGGATTATGGAAGGGGATTTTTTTTAAATCCTAAAGCCCTATTGATTTAAAAAGAAACTAAAAACGGAAGGAAAAAGTGCAAAGTAAATCAAACAATGAAGAGATGAGCAAGCACCACTATACTTCTAGAAATAGATTAGTGATTTGCCAATAATGCAATTGCCTGTGTTTTTACAGGGGTTCAGACATAACATGTTAAAACAAATGTATTGAAATTTCAATTATTCTGTTACTTTAAACGACTATTGCAGGATGGTGACACTTAAAGTACTACTAGATGGCTTCACTCTAAGTACTACTAGATTTTAGTGTTCAGGAAGCAACAATCTTAACAATATCAAGAGTGTCTATCACTAAAACAGTTTTATACTATGTTTCCAGTTACATGAGTGATGTTAGCCTCAGTATTGCCCCCTAATGTAGTAGTATTTAGAATCAGCAGCAGGTGTCCAGCTACTAGTGTAATCTCACTAATTAATATTAGAACTGCATCTGTTTTAATAAAACAGCCCAAAGGTATGAGGAAAATGGATGATGTATTAATGCAAATAATGCATTAATTTTCTCGCATCCCAAACAGGTCTTTAAAGATGATTAGATACCTTTCAAGTGTATTGCAACTCAAATAACTTAAATTAATGCAACTACAACCAAAGCAGTGGGCCTTGAAAATGAATGAAGGAAAGGGGATTAGGTTTTACAGGAAAAGAAACTACAGGTGGTGTCTTCTTTTAAATACCTTGGAATATATCTTAGCAAAAATCTGAGCTGGAATAAAGACCTTGAAAATGGAAATGTTAGAGTAAAACAAGCTTTGAGTGGAGTTTAATCTTTCTACAATATGGTGGGCTGATGAGTGTTTCTGGAAGCACTGTGGGGCTGTAAATCCATTTTGTTGTACAGAGCAGAACTCTGGGGTGCCGACCCTATTGTCTACCTGACAACTGAAAATATTTCTAATTACTTTTTAATTGAGGTGCACCAGTACATCTGTCCATATCGTATTGGCACCAATAAAAGGAAAATTGACATTGTCACCAATTGTCTTTTTTTTGGCTGATGTGGCCAGTAATGTCACTGATAAAGGCCACGTGCATGTGTGGCCAGGAGTACAGCCTGGCAACTTGGGACCGTAGTGTCTGGCCAGTAAGTCTGTGTAGCGGGGGAAAGGGGGCAGATCAAGGCCCCCACAGTGAGGGAGGGAGTGGGGCTGGGGCAGGTGCAGGTGCTGCCCAGCTGGAACTGAGCCTGGGGAGAGGGGTAGGGTGGCTCCAGGCACTGTGTGCACCCCTGAGGAGGGACAGAGGGCATGTTCCCCCTGGATTTTTGCACGGGGCAAGGGCGGGCTGCTGCTGAGGGCTCAGGGCCAGGGGCTGCACCAAGCTCTTCCCAGCAGCTGCGCTTGGGGCAGGTGGCAGCAGCACTGGGAGAGGGGCTGTGGGGGTGGGGGGGCTACAGTCACCCTGAAATTCACCATAGGTTCCTCCCCCCCCAGCGCCACTGCCCCCCAGCCTCACCCCCATGCACAGATCCAGGGGGCACATGCCATACACCCCCCACCTCCCCACACCCCCCAGCTGAGCTGCCTGCTCCTGTCCCGTGCCCTGCCCTGCCCCCAGCTAGGCAGCAGCAGCCCCAGCCACAGTCCCACTCACTCACTGCAGGGCCTCCATCTGCACCCCCTGCCACGCCCCTTACCTCCCCCACACCCCTTCCCTCCAACAGGGTTACTGGCCGGATGCTGCTCTCCAAGCTGCCGGGCAGCATATCGGCAATCAGATCGGTATTGGCCAATATGGCTGCTCAATAACTGGCCATCAGTATCATCCCAAAAAATCTTTATTGGTGCACCCCACTTTTTAAGGCAGCTTTTATCTACCTAATTCTACAACAGGGGGGCTCATGCACTCTGAAATCAGACTGATAAATATGAGCACTTTATCCCAAGTAAGAACCCTAAATTACTGGATGAAAGATAGGTCTTTTACACCTACCAGATACCCCAAGCAGTGCATTTAAGAAGCCTCTGCCAAATAAATCCTGGTTTAGATGGCTAAAGAAAATCTATTCTCTCCTTCAGATAAATGGCCTGAGCAATGTACTGAGTAACTGACTCAATATTTCCATTGTATTTAAAACATGACATAAATTTAAGGATTAAGGATGCCAGTATGCAAACAGACATGCTGGCAGTGAGACTGTCTCAAACTTCCCCTTTTTTAAAGATTAATAAAACATTCCTTTGGCCCAGAAACTTATCTGTCTGTGGTACAAAGCTTCAAACAGTGGGAGGCCATCACTACATTGAGATTTATGCTAAAGAAATCTGCAGTTGTCATGGGCAGGTGGTGTTGGATTCTATATTCAGTAGAATATGCTCTTGTGGGAAGAATGAGATTGATGACTTAGAAAAGGATTTGTGGTCTTGTATGTTCTCTGAAGAAATAAGAGGGAAATTAACTCCAATGGAAAAAACTAAATCTTGGGCTAATGAGGAAAAAATCTGGCTTTCTTCAGAACTTGTCTGGTGTATTTGCACTACTTTCACAAAGAATAAGGGCCAAAATCAAATGGAATTTTCCTGTTCTGTTTTATTGTTAATTGCTTCATTTTACCTCCTTTTTTTAGCTCATTATTATGTTCTATGTTAGTTTTGTGTAAACTGGTAGAGTGGGTAATCTTATTGTATGATTTTAGTAAAAATTATGATTTGTATAAATGCTATTTCATTGTTTGTGTGTTCATTTTATTATACAGTTTCAGGAAAAACTGTCAAACTACTACTGTTAGTTTCATAGCAGGATGAGTGTCAACAACATGAATCTATGCGATCCTGAGGCTAACGTTAAGTATCTAATAACCTAAACAAAGTATGCCTGGAACCAAGAAAAACAGGTACAGAATTAACTAATTTGAAAAACATTCTTGTGATAGGCACTGGCAATAGGAAATTGAAGATAAAAGTATGTATATTAAAATTTTAAAAGAATAGAGTTGCCAGTGAGCTATCTCCCAAATAGTTAATTTCCTTAAGTCAAATGAGAGCAAGAATAAGTTTATCATTTTGCTGCGTTATCCATAAAAACTCATGAAGCAATCAAGTATTCCTTGATTTCTGGGTTTCTAGTCTCTTTTCAAGGCAGCTTTTAGAAAGATGATATATCAAATTTTGATTTTGCTGCTTCATACCTCATAGCATCATAGAGTCCAAGGTAGGCACATTATGAAGTCATTACTTTAAGCCAGCTGATTAGAAAGTATGTGGCACCTAGTCTGATCCAACACATGGCCTAATCACATCCTATCTATTACAATTATTTTCTTTGTTTTCAGAGACCAGTTTTAACTACCTCACAAATAGGCTTTTCAGATTATGCAATGAGATCAAATGTGTATGCTGCTGATCAAGTGAATGTGCTCCTCTTAAAAATACAGATATTTAGAAATGACCTGGGAGCTAATTGTTCAGCCCCTGACTTTGTTGAAGTAAGTACCATATTTACTCAAATATAAGATGATCCTGATTATAAGACAACCCCCCAATAATTAGATTCTATATGTGGAACATTTATAAATCTTATAATTGTCAGGGTATAAAATTAATTATTGGAGGTTTGTCTTGCATTTATTGCACTCCTCTGCCTCCTCTCCCCCCCCCCCCCCCCCCCCCCCCCACCAACCAACCAC